GGAGGATTGAGAAGGTTCGAGGGGGACGGGAGGAGGAGTGAGGAGGAGGAGGAGGAGGACTGAGGAGGAGGAGGAGGATTGAGGAGGCGGATTGAGGAGGAGGAGGAGGAGGATTGAGGAGGAGGAGGAGGAGGATAGATGAGGATGGAGGAGGTGGAGGATTTAGGACTGACGAGAGTCGAGGGGGATCGAGAAGGATTGAGGAAGATGAGGAGGAGGAGGAGGAGGAGGACTCAGAAGGAGGAGGATTGAGGATTGCGGGGGATTGAGGAGGACTGAGGATTGGACTGAGGATGTTTGAGGAGGTGGAGGGGGATTGAGGAGTGCTGACGAGGCTGAGGAGAAGGAGGAGGAGAAGGACCCATTTGAAGATTCGTGAAGAACGAGGGGGGGAAATGCATAAGCATCAAATTTTCGGAGCTCCGCGCGGATTCTCGGATCTGCGCCAGCCCCCCCTCATTGGCGCGCGGAGCGCGCCAGGGGTGGCGCCTGAGGCGCCGCCAGGTGGGGGGGGGGGGGGGGCCAGCGCCGATCCAAGGAATCTGGCGTAAGGAGACGTGCGTCGCTGCGGGTTCAAAACCGACCCAACAACAGAGGAGGCCATCGGAAAAACATGAGGAGGAGGTTCAGGAGGAGGGAAGGGAATGAGACGCGAGGCGCTGCGGATTCAAAACGGACCCAGCAACACAGGAGGCTGTGGGAAAACATGAGGTTGAGAGGGAGGAGTAGAGTGAGCAGGAGGAGGAGAAGGGAGGGGGAGGGGGAGGGGGAGGGGGCGGAGGAGGGAAGGGGAAGGAGACATGCGGCGCTGCTAGCTCAAAACGATGACTTGGCAACGCAGGAGGGCTAGGGAGATGATTTGTCGACTGCCAGGTTGCGGCTGGAGGCGCTGCGGCACTCGCGGCGAGAGGAGCCGCCAGCGGGGCGGCCACGGCGGGCGCAGCGTTGGCCAGGTTCCCAGAGCGGCGCCGGCCTGCGGTCCGCAGAGAACACTTGTGCTTCATTCGAGCAAGTGCTTGCCAGCGTGGTCCCCGAACAATGGGCTCTTCTTGCGCTCTGGATGTGCAAGCCCGGTCGTGCAAGCCATATAGTGTAAGCTATGTGGCGGCCGCGGACGCCACCAGGCGAAAACCTTCAAGCCCAGGCGAAGCAGTTGACACGGCAAGCGACAGACTCTCAGCGCAAGAAGTGTGATGAAAATTGAATGGCATTGAAGTGTTGGAGGTCCGCACGGATTTCTTCGATCGGCGCACCATGCCAGGGCCTAGGATGGCCCTGGCCCTGGCCCACCACAGTGGTTTTCTATAGATGCGATCTGCGTGTGCGACAAGAAAAATCCCCCCCAGAAGTTATATTCAAGAAGCTTACACAGTTCCGCCGACCCCCAGACGAAGCGAGAAGCCATGGAATTTCGATCTGGGTTTCAGCCGCTTTGGGCTTGGATGTCCTTGCAAGTCTGCTCAGGGTCTTCCCCTCGTCTGACAAGGTATTGGATCTCAGGGGAAGGGGGAAGGGGGAGTGGGAAGGCCTATCATTTCACACGCTTCTGGATCTCCCTTGCGAGCGTCCTGGGATTTCGAGCAGGTATCCTGTTCCTTTCCGGGGCTTCTTGGGGCTTCTTGTGGGCCTCTTGAGAGCATCTTGGGATCTCTTGTGGGGTTCATGGTGCCACGAAACGTGTGAGGGGTGTGCCGAAATTGGTGGCGGTGACGCATGCGGACGGTGGCAGTGGGGCCTTCGGTGGCAGCATAGGGAGCTCCATGCGGACGGTGGCACTGAGGCCTTCGGTGGAGCTCCGTATGTGGCCACGAAACGTGTGAGGGGTGTGCCGAAGTTGGTGGCGGTGACGCATGCGAGCGGTGGCAGTGGGCCTTCGGTGGAGCTCCCTATAGGGCTACGAACCGTGTGGGGGGGTGTGCCAACATGGGTGGCGGTGGCGCATGCGGGCAGTGGCATTGGGCCCTTCAGTGGACCTCCCTATGCGGCTAAGAACCGTGTGAGGGTTGTGCCGACATGAGTGGCGGAAACAGATGCGGGCGGTGGCGTCTTTAGGCGGGGACAGACCAGCGCCAGGGACGCTCGCTCCTCCTCCCCCTCCTCCTCCTCCTCCTCCTCCTCCTCCTCCTCCTCCTCCTCATGTTCCTCCTCATGTTCCTCCTCCTCCTCCTCCTCCTCCTCCTCCTCCTCCTCCTCCTCCGCCTCCCCCTCCCTCCTATGCACTTGCTGCTTGTTTTCCGGCGCCCTCGGTTCCCCCGCCGCCTGCTCGCAACACCGCTGCCGCCCACCACGCAAAGCAACCAAACTGATTTCACGCCATCTGTTCCATGCACATTGCCGGCGCCGAAGCGAGCCCGCAGCAGACGTTGCCAGCACGACGTTGCCCAGCACGACCTGATGCCAAGCCAGGCATACTTCGGTTTGCAGTCAGTTAGGACCAATTTGTGTCATCAAATCTTTGCCGGCTTGATCGCCAAAACGTGTGCAGAATATCAGTCAACAGGATGTTGCTGATCTGTGGGCTCGTTTTTTTGGTCGGACATACTGCAGGATGTGGCCCCCTCACGGTGGTTCCTTTCACTCCAGGGTGTGGCCCGCGCCATGGCGGCCCCTGACGTATTCTTGCAAGGTGTGGCCCCGCCATGTCGGCCGTTGGTACTCTGCCTTGGCAGGGTACGGCGGTGGAGGGCCTCGTCTCCTTATCTCCTTAGGGGGTCTTCGCGACCGCACAGGGGTGTGGACTCTGCCCTGGAGGGGGCAGCGCGGCAGAGGGCCCGCGACCGCTTCAAGACAGCGCTGGAAGGCGGGTTCCTGGACCTGCCTTCCTCACCACCTCGCCGCCTCGGCGCCCTGCGCTGTCGCGCGGGCGCGGGGGGCGCGGCGGCCGAGTCGACTGCGCCGCCACATGCTCCTCGATCCTTTTGCATGCACGGGGCAGGAGGCTCAAGCTGCCAGCTTCTGCCAGTCAGACGTTGCCAGTTGACCTTGCCGACCAGCCGTTGCCAGCAGCCGCTAGCGAGCCGTTGCCAGCAGACGTTGTCCCGAGCGCCCGCGTGCCCAGCCAGCTATCACCAGCTGTATGCTCGCCGCCAGTTGGGACCAACTTATGATCGTTGGTTGCGCCGTCTTCTGCTAGACCCACTGCACCAGCTTGTGCAAGGACGTGTCAGCGCAGGCCCACAGCATCCGCCTCTGTCGCTTCCTCGCCCTCTGCGACCCCGTCCCCCTATGCGGCTGCGCTAGAGCCGAGGGCATGGCAGGAGGCAGAGCCACCGATACCACCGCAACCACGCGCGCAGCGTTTCTCCATGTCTACGCCTTCTGCTTCTGCCACCGCCACATGGAGGACACAACACCTAACGGATCAGATTGTTGCGCACCTCTCGAGGATGGGGGAATCGAAATGAAGATTCGCTGCTGAGATGACGCCAGACGGTCGAGCTCACATGGCCTACAGGATTGACCATTTTTGGCGCACGTTGAGTACGACAGAATTGCATCAGTTGGGGCAACATTATGCTGATCCCCCCTTCGCTGGCACGAGACGATGCGCTTCGTCACAAAGTAGATATGGCCACGATGTTGGGCGTTCCGGTGCCAGCGTGTGTCAGCGCAAGACCCGGCAGCCTCTTTGAGTCCTCTTTTGTTTCGTCCTCGGCGTCGCCCTTGGTTGTCCATTCGGACACTGTTCCAGGGTTCACCCATCAGCAGAAGTCAGAGCAACGGCCGACACCTCGAGCGAACGGTACCGACGGAACCCTTGACACAAGGGTGCGAGGTATCAGGGTGGCACATATTACGGAATTTAGTATCACGCATTCTTTGTTGATGGACGAGCAGCCAGAGCGGCTTCCATCTGCTGGCAAGTCTTCTGATGCGAGGGCCGATTTGGTAGAATCGGTTAGCCAGGGCTTGCGCGCGCTGCCAACGTCAAAGCTAGATGAGCTGCACCGCATTTGCCGGACTGCCCCATCGATGGCGCGAGACAATACGATTCGCCAGGTTAGAGGCTTGCTATGATGCGGGACAATGCGCTTCGAAGGCGCAACGATATCACTTGACAGTCTGTTTGTCCACGCAGGTTGTCGGGCATATTTGACTCCAGCGGCATCTTCTTCCCGACGCCAGCCTACGCCCAGAGCCAGCGCCAGCCGTGCACGCCATTGCCCTCCATACTTGTTAGCGCCGCCTCGCCACAGCGCCCCAAGGCAGCAGAAGCCACCCCGCCACACCGACTGACGCTAGCGCAAGCGCCGCCTGTCACTGCATACCGTGCTTGGAGATCTATGCTCAGCCGCGCCCATGAGCAGACGGGACCAGTAGCAAGTTCCTCCATCTGACATCACACAGGTTCGCCATTCCAGGCGCGGACGCCTGGTCCAGGTGTTGGATTTATTGCTCTCAGCGTCCGCGGCGTTTCTGGCTGATGCGATCCTTGTCTGCAGCGCGCGTGCTAGGTGATGTCCTCAAGCGGCGGCAGGACGTGGGCGCCGGTGCACATGCCGAGGGGCGCGGACATGCTAGGCATCTGCTTTCCGCCAGGCTTTAACACGGTAGGTGCAACAGCTAGTGGTTGTCTGCCGCACGGGAGCTCCAAGCACGCTGCACGCTGGATGACGTGACACGATGGCGGCAGCGCTTGTTGTTTCACAACATCTGCGCGCGAGCATGTTGGGACTTGGGTCCTCCTCCTCCCCTCTCCTCCTCCTCCTCCTCCTCCTCCTCCTCCTCTCCTCCTCCTCCTCCTCCTCCTCCTTTCCCTTCTTCTCATTATCCTTCTCCTTCTGCTGCTCTTCCTCCTCCTCCTCCTCCTCGTCCTCCTCCTCCTCCTCCTCCTCCTCCTTTTCCTCCTCCTCCTTTTCCTTCTCCTCCTACTCCTCCGCCTCCCCCCTCTCTCCTCTTCTCCTTCCCGCGTCCTCGTCTGCCTCCCTCGTCCCCCTGCCCCTGTCTCCCCTCCCCGCCTGCCCGCGGAGACGCCCGTGTCCTGCGCACCCCCCGCTAATGCTCGAGGCCCAGGCGTGCGCACGGGCACTCCAACACCCCTGAGTGGACTCATCGTTGAGCGAGGCCAGCGAAAAAACACCTTTCCTATCTCATGGTGTCGCAGTGAGTTTCCCCCCATCCCCAAAGGTTCGCGCCCACCCCGCGGCGGGCCCGGCCGCCTAGCGCCCCAGAGGAGACACGCGGCCTCGCCGGCGCCAGGGAGGCGGCCGCGGGACCGCAGGCGTAAGCGAACCCGTGGCCGCTTGAGGCCGCCTGCCGAAGAAGGACACGGGACACGAGCAGAAATCCGAACCCCAAACGTATTGCAACAATCCTGATTCCAGTTTTCTTTCTCCATTTGCGGGCTCTGGGGCCCTCGCTGGGCCCTGGGACAGTCGGGAAAAGGGTGGGGAATTCCAGGACCGCGCATTGAAAAAATTGAGAAGCCCGATGTCTAGGATTTTTTGAGGCCCGCGCGGGTTCTTCAGATCGGCGCTGGACCGGACGCCCTTGGCGGCGCCTCCAGCGCCGCCCCCGGCGCGCAGATACGTGCGCCGAGGAGGAGGGCGGCCCAGCGCCGATCTGAGAGAATCCGCGCGGGCCTCCTAAAGTTTGGTTGATGCCGCCTTTTCTTCTTCAAGCCTGCTGCCCAGCGAGGACACGGTTGCCCCGAGGCGCTTCCCTCGGAGGAGGGCCAAAGAAGGCAACCACGGCCCTCCCGCCCGGCCCCAATCCGTTCAAAATCAGTCACAGGACCCCTTCTGGGCGCCATACTGCCCAGTACCGGATCCAGCCGTGGCGACAAGAAGCCTCCTCGAGGCCCAGAACGGACAAAGCACGCCCAGAGGGCCGCCGTCGTTTCAATTGGCCTTCCTCCGATCCCCAGCGCCGCTCGTGGAGGGCCGCGAACCACCGACCTCGCGATCGAGCAGGACCCTGCTGGCTGCCGCGCGCACGCCGAGGCCGCGCGCGAGCTTGCACGGTCGACGAAGCGTCGGATGCCGCCAGGGGGCTGGGGCAAAATCGCCATGAAGCAAACGGGTCTTGCGGGAGACGGGTCCTGGAAAGTTGCTCTCCGTTTTCGAGCTCCGGGTGCCTTCCACGGGCCCTGGGACCGTCAAACAATGATTTTGGCGAAGGACCGAACCATATGCAGTTGTGAGTACCGTCGTTGCGGGTAGCGCCTTCACGGGATCACCTCATGGAGCCATGAAGCATGCGAAGCGTTGTATTGTGCCGAGGAGACGCGCATGCGGCCTGCGGCCACTGGGAACTTCAGTGGAGCTCTTTATGGGCCCACGAAGCGCTGTACTGAGCGTGGGAGACTCGCCACGGTGGCCTTCGGTGGAGTTCCCGACGGGGCCACGAAACGCTGTACTGGGTGGGGGAGATGCATGCGAACACCGCCACTGGCGCCTTCAGTGGATTTCGCTACGGGGCCACGAAGCGCTGAAGCTCCCTATGGGGCAACGACACCCTGTACCGAGTGGGGGAGACGCATGCGAACACCGCCACTGGGGCCTTCGGTGGAGCTCCCCATGGGGCCACGAAACGCTGTACTGAGGTGGGAGACGCATGCGACCACCGCCACTGGGGCCTTCGGTGGAGCTCCCTACCAGTGTGTGCGAAATTCACGACCCTCCGCGCGCGCGGTGATATGTTGACCAAATGCACAGGAGCGCGACGCCCGAATACTTCCCCGAGAAGTCCGCACGGGCGGTACTATAGTTTTGACCGTATCTTGGGAGCCGCAGAGACGAGCGCAGCGCCGGCGCCCCCCCGCCCCCCTTGATGCAAAGCTGACGAGACCGACAGGAGACGACGGCAATGGACCTCATCGGTGACATCGTCGCGTCGCCTCGTTGCTTAGCTTTGCATCGCTGGGGGGGGGCGGGCCGCGCGCTCGTTCTGGCGCGGAAACAGATTCGGCTACCGCCGCATGGGCGCGTCGCTGCTTTCCGTTTCGACCGCTTCCCGAACGGCACAATTTTTGGGGGGCAGCGCTGTCTGAAACTATAATACCCAGCCAGGGCCACGAGTCCGCGCTGCCAGCGACGCCGCGTTAGTGTGAAAAGTGCAAGGGGGTGGATGTATAGCTCGGCGGCTAGATCTTGCGCGGTCGTTTTTAACGCACGCCCCAGTATGGGACTACGAAACGTTGTACTGAGTGTGGGAGACGCGCCACGGGGGCCTCTGGTGGAGTTCCCGATGGGGCCACGAAACGCTGTACTGGGTGTGGGAGACGCATGCGAACACAGCCACTGGGGCCTTCGGTGGAGCTCCCCATGGGCCATGAGAAGTTGTAGTGGGTGGGGAATCGCATGCGAACACCGCCACTGGGGCCTTCGGTGGGACTCCTCGTGGAGCCACGAAACGCTTTATTAAGTGGGGGGGACGCATGCGAACACCGCAAGTGAGGCCTTCGGTGGAGCTCCCCATGGGGCCACGAAGCGTTGTACTGGGCGGGGGAGACGCATGCGAACACCGCCATTGGGGCCTTCGGTGGAGCTCCCTATGGGGCCACGAAAAGCTGTGCTGGGTGGGGGAGACGCATGCGAACATTGCCAGTGGGGCCTTCGGTGGAGCTCCCTATGGGACCGCCGAATTGGGTGGGGAGACGCATGCGAACATTGCCACTGGGGCCTTCAGTAGGGCTCCGTTTGGGGCCACGCAACGCTGTATTGGGCGGGGGAGGCGCATGCGAACACCGCCAGTGGAGCCTTCGGTGGGGCTCCCCATGGGGCCACAAAACGCTGTACTGGGCGGTGGAGACGCATGCGAACACTGCCACTGGGGCCATCAGTGGAGTTTCCGATGGGGCCACGAAACGCTGTACCGAATGGGGGAGACGCATGCAAACACCGCAAGTGAGGCCTTCGGTGGAGCTCTCCATGGGGCCACGAAGCGTTGTACTGGGCGGGGGAAACAATGCGAACACCGCCACTAAGGCCTTCGGTGGAGCTCCCGATGGGGCCACGAGGCGCTGCACTGGGCGGGGGAGCCGCATACGAACACCGCCACTGGGGCCTTCAGTGGAGGTCCCGATGGGGCAACGAAGCGGTGTACTGGGTGGGGGAGATGTACGATGATGATGATGATGATGATGATGATGATGATGATGATGATGATGATGATGATGATGATGATGATGATGATGATGGTGGTGGTGGTGGTGGTGGTGATGATGATGATGATGTTGATGTTGATGTTGATGTTGATGTTGATGTTGATGTTGATGTTGATGATGATGGTGACGACGATGATGATGTTGGTGATGTTGATGATCACGATGACGATGAGGTTGATGAAGATGATCATGAGCATGAACAATGAGCATGACGATGATGATGATGGTGACAATGATAGTGTTGATGATGACGATGGTGATGGTGATGATGATGCTGGTCATGATACATTTGCTGATTGTGATGATGATGTTGCCGATGATGCAAATGATGATGATGGTGGTAATGATGATGATCATGAACATGTTCAAAATCATGATTTCGACGACGATGATATTGATGGTGATGGCGATGCAGATGATGATGGTGATCACGATGATGATGGCGATGACGATGATGATGGTGGTGATGATGTTGACGATGATGCTGATGATGATGCTGATGATGATGGTGATGATGTCGATGCTGGTGATGATGGAGGAAGAAGGAGGGGGAGAACGAGAGGGGGAGAGGAACGCGGGCCGTTGTCTCTTCAAGACTAGGACCCAACACCACAGGATGGTTGGGAACTACTCAGGATGAAAAGCTGGTCCAAGGGAAAAGCCCCCATGGCTCCAGGACCCGTGTCCCTCGAAACCCGGTTGCGTCAAGCCAAAGGCGATTGGGATCGCGGGGACGAAAGACCTCGCTGGCGGGAAACATACCCGTATCCACGGCCTCGCGAACCGCGCCTCTAGGCCACAGCCCTATGGATATGGGGCGCATTTTCGCGGGCGCACCACGCGGAGCGCACCCGTGTGACCGCGTAACCTTGGGAGGGCGTCCCAGGAACCTGACCACGAGGGTATGAGTATGGATATGTCAGCCGCTCATGAAGACCCCCAGAACCAGCGCGACGAGGGGTTCGCCCTGGCGACCGTTGCCGCGGACACGGGGGCCGATGTGTCCCCCGAGCGAAAAGAGAGCCAGCTACACTTCAGAGTGACCTTTTGCCGGAGTGACCTTTGGTGCGGGCTTGCAGGTTCGCCCCTGACACCGGCTTGCGCGCGTGGATTTGCTCCCCCAAAGCCCCCCAAAGCTGCTCACCAATGGTCACTCTTGCCCAGGGTCACTCTTGCGCTTGGCCGGTTGAGTTGCGGTCCACGGAGCTCCTCCCGGCTTCGCCCCCGCGCGGAGCACGCTTGGACGGTCCCGACCGTGCACTTTCGTGCGTGACATCCGACCCCGAACCAAACCTCCGGGTCGGTTTAACTGTCGCCGCGGCGATCGCGGCGGCCAAAAATCGGGGCAAGGTTTGTGTCAAGGAGTGGCATGCCCATTCCCGCCCCCCCCGCTCTGCGATGTAGATGCGGCTCATACTGAAGTATGTGGCGACAGAGAGGTGTCAATCTGCGTCCAAGATGGGCAGCCATTTGTTTTGGTTAGGTGTCGCTTATCACGCGACCTTAGCTGCCCTGATACGTCCTTGTTGAAATGCAACACCTACCATGTTTAAAAAAGACGGTATTGGCACGCTGCGTGTTGGCTCGGCATGTGTTGGGCCACGTTTTGACGAACAGTTCGCGCCAGACCTACGTGTTCACTTTACGTGCTGAGCCCCATGTCAACACGCCACGTGTTGCGTTTTGCGTACCGAGGCAGCTAAGCACACGACCAGCACCAGACCTGCATGGTACACACGTTGCCGCCTCTGCCAGCACGCGCAGCGGCGTGTACCGAATTGCCCTGCCCTGGCACACGGCCAGCGCCGCCCAGCACGTGGCCACCGCGAAAAGCACGCGGCTGCTGCCGCCGCGCCGGCTCGCTCGCGCATGGGGCAGAAGGCTCCGCCGAGCAGCCGCGGGCCTGGAGGGCTCCGCCGGACGGCGCCGCGCCGCCAGCGCCGCGGCAGCGGCGCCTGGCCACGGTGGGCCCTCGTTGGAGCCAGCTGGCGGTCTGAGGTGGCCCAGCACTCACTGGTTCTGGCCAGCAGGAAGGCAGGTTCGAGGCGCTGGGTTTCTGCAGGTGTTTTGCCTGTTTCGGCCTCCCAGGGCCGTCTTCGGGCCCCAAAACCATCAGAAACGGATCTGGGGTGAAAAATTACACCAGATGGACCCCGGGAGAGGTCCAGGGACCGATGTTGAGCGGATTTGGCTTCATCCCCCCTCCTGACCGATTTTCTGTTGTCCCAACCAGTTCAGCGGGCAGCAAAACTAAGTAAACTTCAATTTTTGGAGCTCCGCGCGGATTTCTTTGGTCGGCGTTGGAGCCCCTTGGCAGCGCGCTCCGCACACCAGGGAGAGGGTCCGGCGCCGATCCAAGAAATTGTCGTGCACCGCCGAGAAATTACGTTTATGCGTTTCTGATCCTCTATAGCAGGATGCCCAGGGTGTCCGTGGTGGCTGCGCAGTGATCCTTTGCACCACGCTGGACAGAAGCAGCTGGCGTGGAAAATCCGATGCGTTGCGGCAGCACTCCTTTTCCTAACCATCCTGTGGTGTTGGGCCCTCGTTTTGAAGAGAGCGCCCAGCGTCACTCACTTCTCCTCCTCACCTTCCTCCCTCCTCCCGTCATCATCATCATCATCATCATCATCATCATCATCATCATCATCATCATCATCATCATCATCATCATCATCATCATCATCATCATCATCTTCGTCATCATCATCATCATCAGCAGCAGCAGCATCATCATCATTAGCATCATCATCACAATCATCATCAGCATCATCAGCATCATCATCATCATCTCCGTAGCCACTTTGGCTCAACACTTCTCTTCTCCAGATCTCCTGCAGGCGCCCACGCTCTGCGGTCAGCGGCGCGTAATTGGGAGATGAACAGTGGCTACGGGGGGCTGCCCGCAGGAGCGACGGCCGGGCGGCCCATCAGGCGGGTCAGGCGCATCAGCGCGCTAGGCCGAGGTAGGCGCCTCGGCGGCCCGCCGTCGGGCGCGGGCACGGCGCCTCCTCGCGGCCGAGGCAGCAGTCAGCAAGGCGGACAGAGGCGGCCCAGGTTTCTGGAAGGACCGTGAGGCTGCTACGCGCCGTGCCGCATCCGCATCAGCATAACATTATTTTCAATGTGGGTCACAGGCCCACCCCCCTTTTCCCCCCTTGCGTTTTGCAAAGTAGCATTACCGTATATATATATATATATATGTATATATATTGAGATATAATGATATGTATAGATATATATATATATATACAAACATACATACATATATACATAAATACATACATATATACATATATACATACATACATACATACATACATACATACATACGTACGTACGTACGTACGTACCTATATACATACATACATACATACATACATACATACATACATACATACATACATGCATGCATACATGCATACATACATACATGCATATATGTATGTATGTACGTATGTATATATATACATACATGCATACGTACATACATACATATACACATACATGCATACATACATGTGTGTGTCCCTCGTTCTTTGTGTGTATGTGTACGTGTACGTATATGTATATATGTATATATGTGTGTGTGCATCCCTCGCTCTTTGTGTGTGTCTCTCTCCCTCTCTGTATGTATGTCTATATCTCTCTCTCTCTCTGTGTCTCTCTCTCTCTCTATTTCTCTCCCTCTCTCTCTCTCTGTCTCTTGTTTCTCTCTCTCTCTGTCTATATACACATATCTAAGAATGTGCACAAATGGTACATAATTACATACATGTATGTATTTGTATGTGAATAGATATACACACACATACATGTTTATTACCCGGGAACCCCCCACCCACCCACCCCCTAAACCGGACCCAGGACACCCCAGACGCCCCTGCCCTCCACCCAACGAAGGCCCTGGACGCCCTTTCGGAGCCCCCGCAGCCTTCCGGGCAGTTGGACGCCCCTGCTGATCGGAGCCCACGGGCCCAAAACGGGCCCCAAGACGGCCCATCAGCGCTCAAAGAGGACCCTTTTATGGTTTCAAGACGGCCCACGAGGCCCCCAAGACAGTCCAATAGGCTCCAAAAGGAACTCCCAAGAGCCAAAAATCGTCCCATTCCCTGAGGAAACGTACGCTTTTGAAGATATTAGCTTTTTCCGCTTTCACAGCGTCCACGGCATCCCCGGAGATTCTCAAGATCGCTCCAGAAAGGCCTCCGAGGCCTCTATGAGCGGCCCATCGCGGCCCAAAAGAGCTCCAAGACGGATCAAGAGAAGCCCAAGGCGGCCCAAGAGGGGCCCCAGAGGGCCTCGAGATCTCCCAAGAGAGCCCCAAGAGAGCCACAGGAGGCCCCCAAGAGTGTCCCAAGAGGGCCCCCGAAAAGCCCCTGGCCGGCCCGGCCTCCCAAAACGGCCACAAGAGGGTTTCTTGGACGGCCCAAGAAGATTCTAAACGACCCAAACAGCCCCAAAAGGAGTCCTCTGGTCCGGAGGGTCACCAGGAGCTCAAACGCGAGCCCACACCGTTCCAATATTGCTTCCAGTAGTTCTCTTACACTCCACGACGCCGTAGTTCGCAGGACGGTGGTTCGAAAAGACCTCAGAAGCCCCACAAGCGTCCAGGACCCCATCCAGGCATTCAGGAAGCGACCAATCGTCGTCGCCGCCGTCGTCGTCATCGTCCTACGGAGGAGCAGGAGGTCTCGGCCTGTCATCGCGGGCTGCCGCTTCATTATTGCGTAGCCCGCTTACTGACGCCCCGAGCGTTCGCTCCCGCGGCCTGCCCGAGAGGAGGAGCAGGAGGAAGCGGAGGAAGACGAGGAGGAGGAGCAGGAGGAGGAGGAAGAGGAGGAGGAGGACGAGGAAGAGGAGGAGGAGGAAGAGGAAGAGGAAGAGGAAGAGGAGGGGGAGGGGGATGAGGAGGAAGAGGAGGCAGAGGAGGAGAAGGAGGAGGAGGAGGAGAAGGAGGAGGAGGACGACGACCACGAGCAAGGGCCAAGTTTCTGAGCGCTTGTGGTCCCATTGGGAGTGCCAGGGGCCATCGAGAGACGAGCGCCCCATCTGCAGTTCAGACGAGAGCCCCATCGTCGTCGTCGTCGTTGTCGTCGGCGTCTTTGACGTCGTCGTGGTCGTCGTGGTGGTGGTTGTGGTGGTGGCGGTGCTGGTGGTTGTGGTGGCCCTCGTGATCGTGGTCGCGTTCGTGGTCGTTACCGCCGCCGTCGTCGTCGTCGTCTTCAAGCCGTCAAAGCATCCGAGAGGTACGATCGCAAAGTATTAAGGGCGTGTTAAGTAAGATATCCAGGTTGGAAAAGTGGGCTGCCCTTTAGCCGCGTATATACATGTTCCACCGTTTATTTTGCCCCTGTTGTACACTATGATTGCGTGTCGTCGTCGTCATTGTCGTCGTCGTCTTCGTCGCCGGCGTCGTCGTTGACATGGAAGCGAGTGGTTCGCACCCGAAGACTGTGGACGAGTTCGCTCGGATCTACTGCACTTCGTCGGCGTTCGAAGGGAACGTTCTCTATTTTCTCCAAAGCAGGGTTCAACCAACGGAGGAGGCGGAAGAGGAGGAACGGAGGAGGAAAGAATGAGCAAGGATAAGCACATCGGGCGAACGCAGTGTTAGCAAGGTCCAGGGATAGCAGAAAAATGAGCCAGTCGCCTGTCCAGACCTCGACGCCCCCTCTGCTGAAACACGCGATGACTTATTGTTTTTGTCCGAGAAGCGTCCGGAACAAGGCGCATGGCGCGAAGCGCCAATGCAGTCTTGTATTGTTTATATGTGTATATACACATATATATATATATATATACGCATCACTCCTCATTTGTCTTTTTGCGGGAGGCCTCTCTGAGAAGACATGTTCAGAAAGTCTCCATTCAGAGAGGCTCCACTCAACGAGGCCCCGCGCCGAGAGGCCCCTTTGCAGAGAGGCTTTTCCCAGTAGCCGCATGTCAGGGACCCTTCGCGGTGGAGCTGTTTCGCGGGTGCCCCCGCCCTTCAGAGCGTCCGAACCTTCTGGATCTCTATACGTAGAACCTTCCAGAGATGGCTAGAGCCACGAAGCAGAGTAGAATCTTTCAAAGTTTTTTCGAGCCAGCCTGGAGACCTCGAAAGCATGCGGGGGCCCTCTAGATTCGCTTAGATGTCTCTATAGTTTTCTAGAATATACTGGAGCCTTCTGGATCATTCTAGAGCGGTCTGGACTCCTGCAGACTTTCGAAATCATTGCGGTGCCGTCGAGTGCCTTCGAATGCAATCGAGCCTCCTACATCGTGCTAGAAACCCTGGCGGGCCCCTGGGGCATTATCGAACCTTTTTGGGCCTTCCAGAGCCATGTTTTTTGTAACATCATAGAGCCCCGCAAAAAGCATCCTAGAACACCTTGGAGCGCCCGAGCCTCGTAAGACCCTCTTGCGCAGTCTGAACAAGTATCTCCCCACCACCACGAGCATTCTAGAATCCTTCAACGACCTATCCAGCTTTGTTGGGTATTCTCGAACCCACCAGGACCATCGGCTGCATGCCTCCCGAAAGCATGGCATCACTCTTTGGAGAGCCATCTACTAGCCCCTAGGGTGATTATACAGCCCCCTGCGGCACACTAGGACTCTTCCAGGTCTTCTAAAGCACCTAGAACCATCAAGGGCACCCGTGTGCCGTTTAAAGATGCCAGGGTTTTCTGGAGCATTCTAGAATTCTTACCAGAGCCGCCTTGATCGTTCGGGGAGCCCTCTGTTGTGAATCCTCTTGACGTTCGGAATTCGTGTGGCCCATCCCTTCTAGGAAAAGGTCCTCAAGAGCATCGTTCCGAAGCTCTCCAGAACCCCCTACAGAGTTCTCGACCCCCCCCCTGGGGCCCGCTAAAACCCCCTGTACATGGAGATTTGTCCCAGATGGCCCACCCCAAAAAGTTGTTTCGCAGTCGAGTTGTTCCCAGAGTGCCTCCGCCCTCCAGAGCATTCGGGGACCTGGTGTGGATGTCCAAAGCCTTCCAGGGGGTTCGAAAGCCAGCCTGGAACCCTCGAGAGCATTCGGATGCCCTCTAGATCCGCGTAGAGCCCGCTGGAACATTCTAGAGAACATTGGAGCCATCTGGAGCATTCTAAAGCGCACTGTGCCCATCTAGATCATTGTAGAGCCCTGTGCCCTCCAGGGGCATCGTGAACATCCGAGCCGAACATATCCTCAGAGTCCCCTACAGCATTCCCAACACCCATGTAGCCCCCATATCGCCTGTGGGGGTGCCCAAGAGCGTCCAACATCAGTATCCAAGCTTGCTGGAAGTCCTGGGCAGCATACGGAGGCCACCTGGGACATTATAGAAGGTGCTTTTTCTAGCCTCTGATTGTCGACCAACCTATTGTAAACCCAAGTCTTCATGAAGCTTTCTAGAACTCTGCTGTACATTGTGGAGCCCCGTGAGGCACCCTACATCATCGCCGAAGCATGCCAGGCCTTACCGAGCCTTTTGTATAAATGGTTGCAGAACCGTCTGGGTCCATGTCGCACCCGTTTGAGCCTGCTGGGGCCCCCTAGAACACGCTGGAGCAACATCCCAGGTCCTATATCCGAACATTCGGCGGCCGTC